TTCTCAGGGGTTTAGGGATTAGGGTTTTGGGTTCAAGGTTTAGAGGTTTAGGGTTTTAGGGTTAGGGGTTTAGCATTTAGGGTTTAGGGTGCAAGGGTTTGACTGCTGGTCATGCAGTCTGCCAGGTGGGTGCTGCTCAAAATTAGGGGTACCTGTTTGGAGGTCCCCATAATAAGGATTATAGAAATATGGGGTCAATATTGGGGCCACTCCTATTTCGGAAAACTACCAGGTTTGTACAGTGTTACATATCTTCTTTCAGGAGGGTGTATGGTAAGTCATGAAGCAGATTCCATTGCTTCTTTCTTAGATGCCTGGAGAGCTGTCGTGCCATGTTTTTGTCTAGATCGTTTCCGGAGCTGAAGCCTGCCAATGCTGGTTTGACTTGAAAGGTCTGCATCATGGAGCACATCAAAAACATCCACTTCCAGGCGAATGGCTGCGGAGGGGTATGCAGATTTGCTGCACATGGGTGTCACTGAAGGACAGTACTGATCAGGGATAAAATCCACGGCCCTCTAGCTTTATATTCTGACAGGATTGCGAGTGTGCTGGCAATCTTTAGTAGCAGCATCCAACGGCTGCCTCTTCTACTTCTGGTGTACGAGCAAATGGCATCGACTTAGCTCGTTTTGACCAAAAGTTGAGGCTACGGGGATGCAACTTGCCACTGTGCCAGTCTGGTGTGCGCGCGATGGCCCTGCGGGACTGCGTGCTGGCATCGATGAAGGCCTCACCGGGCATGACCGTTGCTGAAAAGTGGTAGAGGCCGTATTCGTAGAAGTGCAAGATGCTCTCCTCCGCCGCTGCATTTGATCCCGGCTGCGCTTGAAGGCAGTTTTTCTGCTTGTAGATGGCAGTCATGCGAGCCACTAAATATTAACTCCTGGCACAAAGCGCTCAACATGCCCGGAGCTTTTGAGGCTGGTCTTTGTGGCTAGACTTGTTTCGCTCCATGCTGCAGGTCTTCACTGAGCTCCACGTCCGTGTGGGTAGTGGATGACAACGCTGCGTGCTTATTGCCAATCATCAAGACACGTGTAAGCCCTATGTAACCCCTGCATAACCCCCATATAGCCCCGCTATGCCCCCTAACGGTCTAGCCCGGCCATTTGCTGTTCCCAAGCACACAGCAAGTTTGATGAGACGACGGCGCCATTTTGCCGTAGTTTCTTTCACAGCTTCTGATATGCCGCTGAGGATCCATTTACCCAACAATTCGGTACCGAGGATTTGGGTCATATAGGCTAGTGGGTCCGTGGGTCAACTTGCCCCCTGCTCAAAAGCGCACTCCCTAGGGTAAGCCAGAGGCAGTCTTTAGCTATAGTAGACCATAGTATACTATAGTATAACCCTAGTATACTAAGCGGAGATTTCTTGCATCTCTGTGAAGGAGCCTGTTTAGCGGGCTGGTAGGTCTAAGGTTTCTAAGTTTGGAGGTGGAGGTTGCCTCCCTCCCCTAATATAGTATAATATATTATGGTATATTATGGTAATTATGGTATATTATGGTATATTATAGTATATTCTAGTATATTCTAGTATATTATAGTATATTATAGTATATTATAGTATATTATAGAGTAGTGTAGACCCATGATAAATAAACCCCCTCCTTTCAGGGCCTTAATACTAGGGTCCCTATTATAATCCCTATTAAGGGGAAAGGGTTTATTAATCAGGGGTCTGGGTTGTAATGCCATACTTCCCAAGGCACTTAGGGTCATGCAGGATATCTTGCATCCACAGTATTGGAACTTGCAGCTTTTGGGCAAGTATATGGGTTGTTCTCAAAATTATGGGCCCTTTTGGTTATAGAGATTATATTACGGCACCTAATATTTAGGGGTACCAAAATGGGACCCTTGTTTTGGGAACTACCCATATGAAAGTTGAGTACTTGGATTCTCAGGGCGCGGCTAAGCCGCCCGGCTGAACACTGAAGCTTGTTGCCAGCAATGATCAAACAGAATCCCTGTTTCCATTTGAACTACAGTCTAAATAAGCTCTTTAATGGGGGAGTTATACAGGGGATTATAGATTATAGCTCATTTAATTTTCGATTTTCTTTCCACTTGATTCTCCAATCTCACTGTTATAGTATCCGTATCTAATCTCTATAGCGCTATAAGTATTCCTATGGTTACATGGTAGTTTTCATTTCTTTTCCGTTTTGCCTATACAGCTCCTATATTTTCTCCATAGAACCAGTCCCTAAACCCTAAGCCCTCCTAAACCCTAAACCTAAACTCTAAGCCCTAAACCCTCCTGAACCCTAAACCCTAAACCCTGACACTACATGAACAGTTGCTGTAGTCCACAGTGGCTATCGTCCTGGAAAGTCCTGCAGACAGTATAGGGTTTAGGGTTTAGGGTTTACTGTAGGGTTTACTAGGGTTATTTGGTTTATATAGGGGCTATATAGGGGTTATGTAGGAGAATGGGAAGAAAATGGAAACCACTACCTGAGATCTAGGGTGTAGATAGGAGTCTATATAGGAATAATGGAAAGTGCCATATTTTGATGCGTGGTCTCTGCTTTGATGATGCTTTTGTATGGATTGCTTTTTCAAATTCAGCTTGTGAGACGTGACGTCAGCTGAATGAATGCATGAGGACCTGCTCCAACGCACGTATGCATGAGAAATCGCGCAACAAACCAACACCCTACATCAGAAAATAATAGCAACACTGCACCTGCTTTTGCATACAGCATCTTCGCAAGGTAGCAAAACCAGAAGCCCCAAACCCCAAACCCTAAAACCCTAAACCCTAATCTCTACTTGCTTGACCCTAAACCCTAAACCCTAAACCCTTTACCATGGCCGAGCTGGTCGTCTTGGAGCAATTAGCTTCAAAGTTGGAATGCGCGAGTGTAAAAGACCTGGGCGGGCGGCCCAGGGTCGTTGCCTCTCCCTCTTCTGTGGCAGATGCTGGGTTGCTGTTAGGGAACTTAAGTTAAGTTACCATAATGGGAGTTAAGTTACCATAATGGGAATATATAGTAAATAATAGGGTTTCCCCAATATAGTAGCTTAAATTAACTTCCTTAACAGCAACCCAGGATGTGGTCGCTTGTGTGAAGGCTGCAGGGGCCATGGGTTGCTCTGTGAGTATCGTGGGCGGTAACCATTCCGGGTATGGCCTCCTAGGTGATCTGGTGATGGAAGCTGGGTTGCTGTTAAGGAACTTAAATTAAGTTACTATATTGGGGAACCCTTATAAATTACTATATATACCCATTATGGTAACTTAATTTAAGTTCCTTAACAGCAACCCAGGAAATGGAACACCATTTCCATGGAGTTGAGGCAGACCATGCCTCTGGTTGCATTCGGGTCGAAGCAGGCGTGAAGCTGCAGGCGCTGGCTGCAAAAGCTGCAGAAGCTGGACTTATTGTCCCACTGGGCACTGCCCCAAGCGTCGGTATTGGCTTAATTCTTCAGGGAGGCGTGGGGCATTTAACCCGGCGACTGGGTTTGGCACTCGACGCGGTTCAGTCCATCCAGCTAGTTCTTGCTGCTGGTGATGTTGTAACAGTGGACCGCGAATCAAGTGATGAGTCGAAGAAGGATTTGTTTTGGGCCCTGTGCGGGTGCGGTCCCAACTTCGGTGTGGTTACCTCTCTTGAACTAAAAGCTGCGCAGCTTCAAAGCTTTCGCGCCACCAGACACATTTTCCGGCTGCCTACCAGCACTGCAGAAGCCACAACGCTGCTGCGAGACTACATGCTGCGAGCGCGGTCATTGACGCGAGACTGCTGCTCTGACTGTTGCCTATATATGGCAGACGACTTGACTGAGCAGGATGGCATGCTGATGGGCATTTACGACTCTCATTGTTGACAGGTTGTGGGGTTAGTGCTGACTGACATTGCATGGGCATTCGGAGCTAGAGTTTTTGACGGGGCGTGCGTCAAGCTGAGGACTTCAATCTTGGATGCGACGTACCTCCCATGAAGACGAGTGCTCAGCTGGTACTCAACCGGGTAGATGAAGGCCTGGATACTGTGCAGCTCATGGCGCAGGAGCCCTACTTGTGTGACCTCGGTGCAATTTTTCCACCATAACCCTACATCTTAGGCTTATCTGTAGCAATCTATTAAACAGCCCCATGACCCTATATAATAACCCTAAATAGCCCTATACAGCCCTATATAACCCCATATAATCTTGAAAGCTATGAGCCAAAGCTAAGCAAATGCACGTGGCGGCGAGCCTGAACCCTCAACCCTATATCATTATCTCTAAACCCTAGACCCTTAACCATGTAAGCCCTAAACCCTAAGTAAGCC